CAGCAGCTCTGATTGTCAATGGCTTTTCCTTCCTTGTCATTAGTTTAATTCTCTGTGTCTTCTCTGTGTGTCAATTTGCGTGCACACTCATGTATAAGAGAATAACCATGTGTGTATGTGTGGATGTGTGTGTCAGTGAGTTTTTGAATAGAAATGAGTCGGGACAACCCGGCTGTGATTATCATCAGCACTTGGCCTGTGGTCTCGTGCCTACGACCAAATCACAGCCGTGCTGATGATTCCGTACCACAGCACTTCCTCTTGTGTGAAATTGCTCAAATGTTTTTAATGCATGGTGCAAAGTGTTACACAGTTCGGGAACATTTAAAATATGATTTGGATATTGACAAATGTGATTAATGACTTTCAAATGGCTCTAATAATATTTTTTCAGTTAATGTCTATCCTTTTAGATTCAATCATGCTCAATTTTGTTTTCTTACTCTTAGACAAGTCAACTAGTTTTATTTCAAACATTTACTTAAAACAAGAAATTAATACTTAGGAACATCCCTACTGCTTTGGACTGTGAAAGGAAGCCCGTGCAGGCCACCCATGACAACAGTGCCGCTCTACATAGAGCACTTTCAAACTAATAAGGCACATTCCTCTTACTGTGACACATCGCTGATGAATGAGGCAATTAACACACATGCAGAAAGACCACATTAAACTTCACAGTCCTCTGGTGGGGCAGTTAATGGTCTTGGAGATCTGACACACTGATGTCAGGCAGATAAATGAAAGGTGATACATTTTGTGGAGAAACATGAGCAATGTTTTGTTAATGTTGTTTAATGGCTCCCATAGGCCTCAAGTGGGAGCACTTTCTACACAGATCTCATGGTGACTAAAAAGGTGGGATGGATTTAGTCTGGAAACAATTTATAACCCCTAAAGCTATTCAAACAACACGGTTGATACAAAAGGCTTTGCAGTACACACACACACATAAGACAATAGACTACAATGACAAGCTCGTAACGCACACACACACACAGATTAACGACCAACCAACCGAAGACAACAGATGCAGTTCCAGTCAAACAGAATCAGGCGCAGTTAAAGTTAAAGCTCGTGGGCACTGACACATTTAGACCCAGACCCACTGTAGCGACAGACAGGTCTTCGGTCAGACAATCTCAAGTCTGTGACAGCGTGGTATGACGACAGGAGTTCACTAATGTAAGTAGGGCGAGAACATGCTCTGCAGACAAAAAACACACTTTTCAACTCAGTCCTATAACTAAGAGGAAGCCAGTGAGGGAGGGACAGAGTTGGAGTAATATGGTCTCTTTCTTGATAATGTTAAAAGCCTTGGCACAGCATTGTGAACAAGCTGGAGACAGAACTAAAAGGTCTGAGTGATACAAAGTATAAAAAATTGCATTAATGAAGGTTGGATGAATATGAAAGTGTTGATGACTTTCCACAAGTCACACACACACGAATGGTCCTGATTGAAGCTGGATGTATGAAAAAAACAAAACAAAACTGTTTATCAAACTTCAACCCAGAATCTAAAATGAGTCCCAGATTTGTCCTTCATAAAGAGACAAGGTTTGGACTAAGAACAGCCATGGTCATAAAGTCTTTTAAGACAATGGCATTTCTTGGCAAAATAAATTCATAAAGGTAAACTATGCTGAGATTGTTGGTTACCGTTTGTAAACAGTATCACCAGTGACAGTTTAGTTTAGTTTATTTAGTTTATAAAAAGGACAGCGTGTACGTACATTAGTTGTTTACAAAACAAAAAGATGTTTGCACCATGAGAAGTGAAAGCCAACCCTAGATTGCTCTTGTTTTGGAACAAACTTTATCTGTTTGGCGATTTGCCCCACGATATTTGCATTTTTTGATGCTGTGTCTGCAATTTTCATAGCTTCGTTTTGGAAGCTTGCTGCTTACTGTCTTGCATCTATCTGCTACTTTTTTATAAAGCTCCAACTTCACGAGCTTTGCCCAGAAACGTTCTAACCCTGGCAAAATAATACCTCTTTTACAAAAATAGCACCTATATGCAGTTTACTCTATGCGGGAAACCCACTAAAAATAGGCATGATAGACTCTTTTCTCATTGCCAGTAGATGGGTAGCCTAGGCCTTTCTGTTGTTTTTTTTCCCCTCTGCTGTCTCTCATTTGGCATCATGACTGCATTGGAAAACAGGTTAGTAAGCAGTAGAAAGCAGCATGGATGCCAGTGAAAATGTTACAGAGGTTACTTCTCTCTTTTTTACCTGGTGCTGACTAATTTTGAACAATGGTCGAGCGATGCTTGGACAGAGGAGGACAGTTTTTTGTGGTAGCGTGTCATTGCATTGTACTGGAAAAGGCGCAAGGATTAGCACATCCACCCTGATGTCTACTGCTAATCAGAGGTGGAGCTGATAAAACCCTGTGACTACTGCGGAGTCATTCATCTCGGGAATGAATGCAGAGTGTAACATTGTCTTTTAAATACAGGAGCCAGTTGTCAGTGGGTGTTAGTGGGTTTATGTCCAGTGGGAAAGGGGCTTAAGAGGAAAATAGGAAAATATTGCAGGCAGCAATGTGTCTGCAGTAAAATACACTGCCACATGCTTGTAGTGGGTTATGAGTACTGACTGAGAGGGATTTACTTTGTATGAGTCCATACATATTTTTTAGGATAATCCTAGTATACCTTCAATGGAAATGCTGCAAACATTGTGGATTTGCTTGTGGGGACATAGCAAATCCACATGCATTTTTCACATGGAGTGAATTCAGGCCGTTGACTGACAGCAGGCCACCTCTACAGTGCTGGTCTTTGAGGAAATGAGAGCCAGAGAATCCAAAATGGAGGAAGCTATCATACTGTAGCTTATTCTATCAGCTGTACTACACCATCCACTTCAATTTCACAACTCTTCTGCTGAAATATAGAGTGCTCCACAAAGAGGAATGTTTTCTGACAGATATGAGAGTCAGTGGTGCAGATAAATACATGTATCTTTTGAATTGATTGTGTGAACTTTTTGTCCTGCTTTTGACCAACCTAACGAGCTTGCCAGCTTGACAGTTAGCAGTTGGCAGTTTAGAGAGTTGGATAGCTTTTTTCTCCTTTATTGAATGACATGGTGAACTTACTATCCTAAAATAAAATGCTATGAGGCAGTAGTAAACAACCCATTGCAGCAAAGATATAAGAAGCTAGGAGAGCAGTTTTAACTGTTTAACACAGTTGGCTGGCATCCAGCTTTTTGGTGTGACTGGGTGTTATGGACTGATTTTCTTTCAGTCATGTAGAAAGTATGGTGGCAGTTATGTTAGTTTGTTATGGCTTTAACTCTAGGTAGATTTAGATGTCAAACAGTGAAAAGAAATTTTGGATCAGGTACAGGTAGCTTTGTCACCGAAGAAGTGATTTCTTTCCATTTTCCTTTTTTTTTCAAGCACAGTTTCCATTTATAACATCTTATGCCCTAATATATAAATTCCATTTCATAGGCATTACAGTTCAATTCCACCTGTCACCTTGAGCGGACTTAAGGGCTGAGGAGATTTAGCCTTATTTGACAGGCTGCCAGCACTTCCAAACACAGGCCCACACACACACTACATACAGACATTACGCCAAACATATTTTTTGTTGTACTCCACACAATATGACAGTATTAAGTAAAAAAATCTGGCCTCAAAGAAATTGGCCTTTCCCCTTCTGTGCTCTGTGTGAGTCCTGTGTGATAAGCGTGACAGGGGCTGAGCTTTTGATGGCCTCTCTGATTCTCAAATCTTTTCATCTCTTTTCTTTTGAAAATTTGTTATCTAAATGATTTTTATTAAAATTGATTACAACAGATGTGAATAACTCTAATCTGCATGAGATGATAAACTGTGAAAGGGATGTCAAGGTTTCTGACACTGTTATTTTGCCCTTAAGTCAAGTCAAGTCATGGCAAAGTCCTCACCCTCCTCAGTATAAAAGGCAAATACAAAGAGCTTAAAGTAACACATAACAGCAGGTTATTTAAGATGTACAGTAGTAGAGAGTGCCTTTGTTTGTTTGATTTCCAAGTTTTCAAGCCTTTTTGGATCTTGCAGGAAATGCATGATCACCAAAAATGTGGAGTCCAGTCAGAAATTAGAACAGTGGCTTTGTACAAATAGGAAAATGTTCTGAATCATGCTAGAAGCTGCTGTAACAGGCTTATAAACTGAGTTATGAGGTTGGATCACTTTTCTCAGCTAAGGTTAAAGGCTTTGCTTCCTGTGTTCCTAACAAGCCAAGAGATGATGGATTGATTTGTCACCACAACTTAATGTAAAAGTTCTTATAATAATGAAGACAAGAGCAGAGGTAATTAGAGCACTGATGGCTTTCTTTATGTGAGACACTGAGTAATATACGCTGAGATCTCAGAGGAAACTGAAATAGGTTCACCAGTGCATACAAAACTCATCACTACAGCTCCTCACTTATGAATATGAATTGATCATATAACATATTTGTCATCTTAAAGGATTGGTAAACCTTCCTCAAAAGGCTCACTGCCTGTATTAATCATAATGAAAAAAACATGTATGGTACTGGACGTTTTCCCTGCTATTTAAAACTGCTGACAAATTACAATAAAACTAGGGATAGATCTGTTCGAACAAGGTAGTCAGAATTATAGGATAGAACTTGCACAACATATTACATTGAGGTGCTAATCAGCTTTCATAGAAAAAAAAAGTTACAGTATGTAACAACCTGTTAGAACTAAGATCCTCTGAGGTATCTCAAGCTGAGCATCCTTTTAATTTAAGATATTTTAATATAATATATGAGACTTTCCTTAAATGTCAAGAAATGTCAGGATGAGCGACATCAAACAGACTTTTTGTTGTTGAGTATAATCAAAGGGACAAATTCACAGTTGGAAAACAGTGGAGTGGCCTTTAACGATCACTTGAGAGCCAAGAGTGGACAAATAGAAGATGTGTTTCCTTTAATTTCTGTTAAGCTCTTATTGTTTTCTCTCTTTACTCCACAGAGGGATCCAAGGGAAGAAATGTGGCACTATCATCCTGTCCGCAGAGGAGCTGAGCAATTGTCGAGTGAGTAAGCCATAATAATCTCCCCTGCCAAACACACATTAGCAGGCAAACATCTGTCAGTGAAGCCTGGTTAAACAGACTTTGCAAACAAAGTAGATTGGGCAGGATGGAGGCTTAAAGGGGCAAATAGGTGCAGGCGCATGGCCACGGACAAAGGGAACTTCTGTTGACTTTGTTTCACTCACTTTGGGAACTTTTTTTTTGTTTTTTAATCACATAGATTCTTGTGTTAATAAAGGTAATGTTACAACAATTCACATATTGTGCTTTTGGTGCTCAAAAATAGCTTGTTACGTCTCCTGGGAGTTGAAAGGTCAACATGTCAAAATAGCCAAATCTCTGAGGTATATCACATTCTCTACCCCGACTGTGTCAAGTGTCAAGCACAATAGGCTGAACACTGGCTGACCCGGTCTTTACCACAGAGAATATAATGACAGTTGCATTGAAAATGGCCATAAGTGACGAATTACGCTATCATCACCTAAGCTAAGGAGAACCAACGCTAGATTTGCACTATCCACTGACATCTCCGGTCCTCTCTTGGGCCTCCATGGACTCCACAGCCAGACATAGTGGGTCCTCCTCCTTGTATAATCCTTCTGTGGCAAAGTGCCCCGGTGGGAGTCATTGCTATCCATGCTGGCTAAAAATGGCTGATGTGATAGTGACGGTCAATCTGTCTGTGTCCCTTGGTGTCACATACTACAGTATGTTGCCAAGCCTCTGCACAACAGTTTGCCCCCAGCTTCTTCCCACATCACATTAACAAAAAGCATTCTGGCTTGGAGGAGCCAGGCAGAAATCGAGGGTGCACAAACCTTTTAAAAGGATTAAAAAAAACATGTATTATATATTTATTCATTCTTCAACATGAGGTATCAGATAAAACAGTAATTGGTATCTGTGCTGAAACTCAGGTATCACAGCAGCAAGTATCTGTTTACATAACTACCCACAGGGCCCATCACACCCAGACACACACACATACACACCTCTCAGAATATAACAGACAGGACAGCTGTTCACACTCTGCGGAGTGTCCTCCTGTCTAATGAAATGTCCCAGGAACATGATGGGGTGAGTGCTGACTGTCCCCCTCAACCAACACTGTGGTGTAAAGCTTTGGATGCTTCACTGGGCTCCCAGCACGCAGATTACAAGAGGATATTGAAAAGCGAGAAAGTGCACCAGAGCATAGGGCACAAAGAGACTTCTCACATTGAGAGGGAGTAAAGGAGAAAGGGAAAAATGCAACAATGAAAATGAAAAAGCAAACTAGCAGTGATAATATGTAGAGAAAAAAAGGTTTGTGTGTTTGTGTGTGTAAGAAGGAGAGAGAGAAATAGTCAGACAGTTAGACACAGATACAAAGACAGTGAAGTGAATCAATAGAGAATTATTTCACGCCCGGCGTGTACCAGGTCTCAGCTATAAGAACAGCCTGGCTGATGATAGTGTGAGACCAAGCATCAGTTAATTAAAACTCAGCACTGCCTGACCCTGTCCCTTGTAGCTTGTGACACACACACACACACCTACACACACACACACCTACACACCTACACACGTATACACACACACACACACACACACACACACACACACAGATGAGCATTCACATTCACACAGATACACACACAAACATGAACCCTTACTTTCTCNATTGGCTGTTTGTTTCTACCTCTCTCCTCTCTGGAAGTCTCGGACCTCCAGCTGTACGCCTCCACCTTGATTAAACGCTGAAAATAAAATAAAAGGGGGAGACAAGTTTTTCCTATTTTATCTTATTTTGTTTTATTTCTCCCTCTCCTCTCGCTAGAAGCATCGGACCTCCCGCCTCCCGCTCCCGTCTCAAACACGGAGGTCTCCCTCTCCGCAGCTGAGCACCCACGGCGCACGCCCGGCCTGTTAAATAGCCTGTAACCACTGTGTGACACAAACTCAGTGCTTTGGTCATTAAATAATGTCGGGCTCGGACATAATCATCAGTTTATAAAAACCCTGTTTCCTGTGTGGTTTCAAATGTGAGTGAGCTTGATAGAAAAACATTCGAGGACATATCCAACGACATTTCAGGTGAAAAAATATCACAAATAAATAACGTTGCTTTGTGGTGGTCACATACTGACATAGCATAACACAGAATAAATAAAATGGTTAAAACAATTGGGAATTTAATGATATACAGCGACACATTTTGTAAGCTGCAGAGAGAGTACAGAGAGTAGCTTCCAAATTAGCCAGTGGTTACCATCCTTTCAATCCTCCCTCCTTTTCTTGTCCTTCTCATATCCCCCTCGGCAAAATTAATTTAGCCGCTCCTTATTCACAGCAGGTTTATTAGTTTGCTTTAGTCTTTGACTCCCTGAAGATTTCTGTAATTACAGAATCTGTGAACAAAAACTGGGTGTATCTGTGTGGTTTGTGTGTGTATGTGCCAACATGTCAGTGGGTCTTTATGCTTTGAGGGATTTGGTGCAAGTGTAATTTCTGGGTTTACATGTTCCTATGGGCGATAATATGTCTGTGTGTGTGTGTGTGTGTGTGTGTGTGTGTATACGTGTGTGTGCGTGTGCGCACTCTGTCAATATACAACTCTCCTTTGTTTAATATCGGAGGTTCAAAAGCGCTGGCGTGTGTACCTTGTGGGTCTTTGAAGCCTTGTGTTAATGGATAGGTTATATTATGCATGCACTGCTGCTTTTACTCTTCTAAGACAAAAAAAGAGAAAGAAATTCTTTCTTTCAGGTGCAGTTCAAAGAATAAAACTTCCTGCCAGCCTGACACATTTATTAGATTACTGTTCCAGGTTTTCGGTAATATGAGGGAGCAGTATCTTCGGTGGCACCCTCAGGAGGTCTCCGTAGCTGCGGCAAATTGTAAATCAAGTCTGAGTCTCTCTTTTTGCTGTTGCATATCAATAGCAAGGTGCAAATGAGATCTTATTCCATCATTTTCAGCTTCTTCCAATATTTTCTTAAGCAACGAGATGGGTGGGATTTTTGGCACGCAGGCACAGGCATAAAAGAAATCCAGCAGGAGACAGATTGCAGTTTAACACCAACTGATTTGTTTTCCTTTCTGTGAGTCATCAGAAGAATACTGAATATTATATTTACAAAATATGGCTGTTTACAACCTTGGATGAAGAGAGGGAATAAACTCGAGGATGGCTGGTTACACACAGATCTACAGTATACACCTGTAGAGATATATACTGGAACAATTAGTCAATAGACAAAAAAACACCACTGAAATATTTTGATGATTAATTAGCCTTATTCTTTGTCATTTTTCAAGCAAAAATAGCAAACATTACTTAATTCCAGACTACTTTCAACACTACTTTGTCTTATGTGATTAGAGCTGCAACCATTACTCAATTAGTTGTCAACTATTAAATTAATCACCAACTAATCTGATAATCAATTAATCTGTTTGAGTAATATTTTGAGGAAAAAAAGGAAAAATTATTTGATTCCAGCTTCTTAAATGTGAATATTTTCTGTTTTTTTTACTCCTCTATGACAGTAAACTGAGTATCTTTGGGATGTGGGTGAAACAAGACATTTGAGGAAGTCACCTTAGGCTTTGGGAAACATTGATTGACATTTTTCACCATTTGCTGACATTTTATTGACGAAACAAGACATTTCTGTTGATAAAGAAAATAACTGACTGATTAATCAACAATTAAAATAATTGTTAGCTGCAGCTTTAACTGGATATCTTTGAGTTTTGAACTAGAGATGTTCTGGTACAAATTTTTCTTTCCCAATATCAATTCTGATACCTGCACTTAAGCATCAGCCAATACAGAGTATTCAATACCATTGCCTCAAGAACAGCAGTATAGTTCTGACCCTGTATAGATGTGAAATGATTGCTATCATTGTTGTGTAGCATTGCTCAGGTGAAACCCTTTGTAAAACATGAACAAATACATACACTGAAGGAATGCCGTAGAACGTTATTGTCTAATTTGACTTTCATAAAAACCACGATTAATGATGATTACTATCGGGATGTTCTAGTAAAAGAAATTGCCACGGCCGGCACTGTTTACTGGAAATTAATTCTTCTACCCTGCTCAAAAACAATAGTTGCCAGTTCATTTTAGAGTGATGAAAAAGAATTGATATCCAGGAAAACTGCTGTTTTATCTGTGTGTGCATCTACTTTTAAGTTTATTAATAAATAACCTGGTATCAGATTGCCGCATAGACTTGTGTATGAATTGATGCCAGCTGCAGCATTTTAGGCAGTATCAGGGGTATTTCTGACACTGGTATCGGTATCAGAACAACTCTATTTGGAACTATTGGTTGGGGGAAAAAGAGACGTAACCTTGGGCTTCAGATTAATTTTGATGGTCATATTTCACCATTTTCTTACAATTTATACACATACTCACCTTTTACCTTTAGCATCCATTCACTTTACCCAATTGTTCTTCACATACAAGTTGAAAATTTTTTTTTCAACCAACTAATGACCAAAAAACATGGGGTTATTTGTGAAAGCCAGTCCCTGTGGCTGCTCACTGTGTTGTTTATCGGATAGCTATAGCCGCTTTGCTCTGCAGCCACAGCTTGTCAACACAGCGCAGATTCACTTGTGTAAAGCAAACTCTTTTTGTCTGTTGGTTTTTTCAGTGGCCTTAAGATAACAGGCTATTTCTGAGAAGAACCAAGAGGGAATCGATTCAGCTACGGGAGGTGAAGGAAGGAATCAGTGGACAGGGATGTAGATGTGGAGGCTTTTGTCTTTTGAAAGCTGTATTTTTGAGTCAGTGGCTGATGGGGTGCCTTGTGTCTATAGTATGTGTGTACGTGCAAGATTGTAGGTGAGAAAAGAAAACACTCATGCAACCAGGATGGTTCCTCCACCTGAAGATCAATGAAAGTCTTTTACTGTATGGATCAAAGGTCTCCATCTACCTCTTAAAAACACACAACTTGGCACAAAGAGCAGGAAGCACTTATACACACAGCTGG